TAGATAGATAGATAGATAGATAGATAGATAGATAGATAGATAGATAGTTACATGGATGGAAGGAGGGAGGGAGAGAGATAGATAGATGATATATATAGATATATAGATGATACAGATACAGAGATGGATGGATGGATGGATGTATAGGTAGGTAGGCAGAGAGAGATGATATATAGATATAGATGATACAGAGATGGATGGATGGGTATTAGATAGACAGACAGACAGATAGACAGATAGATGATGGATGGATAGCTGATAGATGGATAGACAGACAGACAGATACACACAGATTATAGATTATCTTTATCTAAGATAGATGACAGATAGACATGGTATAGATATATAGACAGACACACAGAGATGATGGATGGATGGATGGATGGATGGATAGATAGATAGATAGATAGATAGATAGATAGATAGATAGATAGATAGATAGATAGATAGATAGATAGATGATGGATGGATAGATAGATACATGATAGATAGATACATGATAGAGAGATACATGATAGATAGATAGATAGATAGATAGATAGATAGATAGATAGATAGATAGATAGATAAAGATAGATGACAGACATGGTATAGATGTATAGACAAACACAGAGATGATAGATGATGGATGGATAGATAGATAATAGATAAATACAGAGTTTCAGGCTGCAATGTGTGGCTATAATCATCATCATCTTCATTTAATGACCCCATAATAATCCCTGGCGGGGCGGCGTCTGGGCGACTGAATGGACCCTGGTGAGCGTTTCCTGGCCAGATGCCCTTTTGCCCAGCCGGGCAAGCGGAATTGCTCCCAGGTGGGGCGGATACCCAGCACCCTCCCAATTCATGCCCCCCCACCCACCCACCCACCCCCACTCCCGGGCTTCCTCTCTTCCCCGGCAGGGCCCTGAAGTCCAGCCAGCGCTCCTTGTGCTCCATGATGATCGTGGACACGCCCGGCCTGCAGAACCCCGAGATGGCCGGCCAGAGCCGGGGCGCCACCTTTGAGGAGCTGTGCCACAACTACGCCCAGGAGCGGCTGCAGGGCCTCTTCCACGAACGCACCTTCGTGCAGGAGCTGGAGCGCTACAAGGAGGTATGTTTCCCTGCCGGGGGGGGGGGGGGCGGCGGGGGGGGGGGAATTGAGCGAAACCACGGCCCCCAGGAGGGGGGGGGGCGTTTGTCAGCCTGTTTTCTCGAGACCCGTGAAGGCAGGACGAGAAGCAACGGATGGAAACGCATCAAGAAGAGAAGCCCACCTGGAATTAAGGCGGGATTTCCTGACGGGGGTGGGTCGGGGGGACGGGACAATGAACCAGTGGAACTGCTGGCCACCAGAAATTGTGGGGGCTCCATCACTGGGGGCTTTTTAAGAAGAGACTGGGCAGTCACTTATCTGGAATGGTATCGGTTCTCCTGCTTGAGCCAGCGGGTTGGACTAGATGACCTCCAAGGTCCCTTCCAACTCTGTTATTCTATTATTCTATTGGAGGGAGGGAGGAGAAGGAGAGATGAAGGAAGGAAGGAAGGAAAATGGTTGGAAGCTCATCAAGGAGAGAAGCAACCTGGGATTAAGAAGGAACTTACTAACAGGGAGGACAAGGAACCAGTGGAACAGCTGGCCACTGGAAGTTGTGGGGGGCTCCATCACTGGAGGAGTTTAAGAAGAGACTGGGCAGCCATTTGTCTGAAATGGCGTAGGGTCTCCTGCTTGGGTGGATGGGGGTTAGACTAGATGACCTCCAAGGTCCCTTCCAACTCTGTTATTCTATTGTTCTATAGAAGGAAGGAAGGAAGGAAGGAAGGAAGGAAAAGAGGGAAGAGAGGAAGGAAGGAAGGAAGGAAAGAAGGAAGAAAAGAAGGAAGGGAGGAAGGAAGGAAAAGAGGAAAGGAAGGAAGGAAAGAAGGAAGGAAGGAAGGAAGGAAGGAAGGTGAGAGGAAGGGAGGGAGGGAGGAAAGGAAGGAAGGAAGGAAGGAAGGAGCAAGAGGGAGGGAGGAAGGAAGATGAGAAAGACAAAGAGGAGAGGGGAGGGAGGGAAAGAAGGAAGGAAGGAAGGAAGGAAGGAAGGAAGGAAAAGAGAGAAGAGAGGAAGGAAGGAAGGAAAGAAGGAAGGGAGGAAGGAAGGAAAAGAGGGAAGGGAGGGAGGAAGGAAGGAAGGAAAGAAAGAAAGAAAATGGATGGAAACTAACCAAGGAGAGAAGCAACTGGGAATTAAGGAGAAACTTCCTAATAGTGAGGACAATTAACCAGTGGAACTGCTGGCCACTAGAAGTTGTAAATGCTCTAACCCTGGAGGCTTTTAAGAAGAGATTGGACAGCTGCTTGTCTGGTAATGGGTCTCCTGCTTGGGGGGGGGGGGCTGGACTAGAAGACCTCCAAGGTCCCTCCCCACTTGGGTTATTCTTTGTTATTCTCTGAGATTATCCTAAAACAGAAACCTTCAAGTTTGGCCCCTTGAAGACTTGTGGGCTTCAACTCCCAGAATTCCCACGGGACAGAATTCCGGGAGTGGAAGTTCACGCGTCTCCGAGGGGCCGAGCTTGGCGCGCCCTGCCCTACGTAGCGGGACCTCCAGCGGGCAGCTAGACCCACCGATTTCCTGCTCCTCCCCTTTTCCACCCCTGGGGATTTCTCTCTTCCAGCCCACCCAGGTTTTATTTCTTTTCCTTTTCCAGGTGTGTGTGTGGGGGGGGGGGGGGGCTGTGGACTCTCTCTCTCTCCTGACTAACGCACTGACTGTGGTGTCTCTCTTCCCCCCCTCTCTGGGCTCCTTGACTTGTGGCCACCGGACACTAACCAGGCCTCGTCTGTCCCTCCTTTTCTAGGAGAACATAGACCTCTCCTTAGACGCCTTGGAGCCCAGTGTCTCGGGCTCTGTGGCCACAGTGGACGAAGCGTCCCACCAGACACTGGTAAGCTTGCATGGAAAACGGGGTTCAAGCCCCCTCCCCCACCCCCACTTCTCCCGCCTCTTCCGCCTCGCCCCTTCCTGTCCTGCTTGGTTGGCCATGGGCTTGCTTGGGGAGGGATGTTGTGCCGTGTTGGCGGCTGAAGGACAGCAACTCATCAAGTATTTCTAGGGTCTCTGCAGAGTTGCCATAACAGAAAGGGTGGGGGGAGCAGTGTGGCAGCTTGAAAACCAAAAGTGCATTCCATATATATATATATATATATTTTTTCAAAGATAGTAACCAGGTGACCGAAATTTCTGCCATGCAAAATTCTAACTGGAGAGCCTGATTGGTGACTCTGGGCTATGGAGGTGTCCCATTGGAGGATATGGATTAGGATACACCCAGAGGGGTGGAGGGGGAAACCAGGGTCAAGGGTGACAGTGAATGATGTGTTTCAGAGTTGGCTGAACCCAGGCAGTGCCGGACATGTTAACTCCCCAATAAATCCATTTGAAGTTCTGGAAGTTTGGCTCGAGATTCGGGATTTAAATTGGGTTAAGGGCCGGAATCCTGACAGCTAGCCAACTCTGAAACTTCCCTCTTAAAGCATCCTGGCTGGGGGATTCTGGGGGTGGAAGCCCTCCCCTCTTAAAGCATGCAGGCTGGGGGATTCTGGGAGTGGAAGCCCTCCCCCCTTAAAGCAGGCTGGCTGGGGGATTCTGGGAGTGGAAGCCCTCCCCTCTTAAAGCAGGCTGGCTGGGGGATTCTGGGAGTGGAAGCCCTCCCCTCTTAAAGCAGGCTGGCTGGGGGATTCTGGGAGTGGAAGCCCCCCCCTCTTAAAGCATGCCGGCTGGGGGATTCTGGGAAGCCCTTTCACAATTGCCCACCTCCCTGATTTTTATTGCCACATCCTGCTGCCTGAAGTCCAGCAGTCACCTCCGGAAGGACTGAGAGTGACGCCTGTGTGGTTGTGTGTGCCTGCCTTCCTAGGCCTGGCATGTGTGTGTGTGTGTGTGTTTGTGTTTGTGTGGTGTGTCTGTACGGAGATCCGCTCTTCCTCCAAGCTCTCCCCGCTGAGTTTCGGGGAGTAATTTCGAGGCTTAAGTCTCCAAATTGAATTTCCGTGCTCCGGCTGCCACGACTGGTCCCCTTTGGCAGACTTGACGCTTGTTTCTCTCGCCAACCTGGTTTATGGAGTATTGATTCTTGGAGGAGGACGTGGCGGTCCGACGGTGGAGCAGAACGGAGCCGTTCCTGGGCCGCCCTCCGTCGCAGGGGCTTTGGGACTGGGTCTTAGCAGGTTGGGGGGGGGGGGGGGTACCTGACCCTTCTCACCCCTCTGTTTTTCCAGCCTCCCCTCCCCAAATCCCAGACTCTCTCGGTCCATTCACTGACCATCGGTGGCGTTTCTCAATCATCCAGAATCATGGTTGCTCCCAAAGAGGCTTTTCCAACAGCGGACTTCGTTTGTTTCTTTGAAAACGTTTCGCTTCTCACCCAAGAAGCTTCCTCAGTTCTTCAGTTGGTTCCTTCCTTCCTTCCTTCCTTCCTTCCTTCCTTCCTTCCTTCCTTCCTTCCTTTTTCTGCTACCCCTTTTTCCTTCTTTTCTCTCTTCTTCCCTCCCTTCCTGTCTTTTTTTCTCCTTCCTCTTTTTCCGTCCTTCCTTTTTCCTTCCTTCCCTCTTTCCCATTTTCCTTCCTCTTTTTGCCTTCCTCTTTTTCCTTCCTTCCTTCCTCTTTTTCCTTCCTTCCTTCTTTCTCATTTTCCTTCCTCTTTTTCGCCTTCCTCTTTTTCCTTCCTTCCATCCTTCCTCTTTTTCCTTCCTCCCTTCCTGGTTTCTCATTTTCCTTCCTTTCTCTTTTTCCTTCCTTCCTTCCCGATTTCTCATTTTCCTTCCTCCCTCTTTTTCTCCTTCCTCTTTTTTCTTCCTTCCATCCATCCATCCTTCCTTCCTCTTTTTCTCCTTTTTTTTCCTTCCATCCTTCCTAACTCTTTTTCTCCTTCCTCTTTTTCCCTCCTCCCTCCCTCCCTCCCTCCCTTTCTCCCTTCCCCCTCCTCTCTCTTTCTCTCTCTCTCTCCCCCCTCCCCTCTTTCTGTAATCTCTCGGTGAAGAAGCTTCTTGGATCCGTAGTGAGAAATGTTTTCAAGAAAAAGGCCCAGGAAGCGCCGTCTCCTTTTGTGAAAAGCCCCGTTGGAAAACTTCCATCCCCGAGGACAATACGGTAACCTTTTTTGGGGGGGGGGGTCCTCCCTGCAGGTTCGCACCCTGGCCCGGACCGACGAAGCCCGTGGGCTGCTGTGGCTCTTGGAGGAGGAATCTCTCCAGCCTGGGGGCAGCGAGGAGGGTCTTCTGGAGCGGCTCTTCACGCACTACGGCCCACAGGACGGAGACACAAAAGGTACTCGGGACAAGGAAGGCCGTCGAATCGGCGTCCTCTGGGGTGACGCCGAATCCAGTGGGATCTCTCTGGTCCCGGGTTCTGTCTTTGGAGAGGAACCTGCCTCCCAAGGGGAGCTCAGGGTCGGTAGTCCTCGATGTATGACCGTCAGATCATAAAAGCCTTCCTTTTTTAGAGTGGCCAAACCGAAAGGGAGCGGGGGGTAGCCGTGCGGCCGCTTGCAAAACCGAAAGCGCATTCCATCGATGTTTTTTTCAAAGATAGTATTAACTGGGCGACTGAAGTTTCTGCCGTGCAAAATCCTAACTGATGATGGATGACTTTGAGCTATGGACGTGTCCCATTGGAGAATGTGAATCACGATACACCCAGAGGGTTGGGGTGGGGGTGTGGGGGAAAAAACAGGGTCAAGGGTGGCCGTGAATGATGTGCCTCAGAGTCAGCTACACCCAGGTCGTGCCGGACATGTTCCGTCCGAATAAATCCTTTGGAAGTTTTGAAAGTTTGGCTCAAGGCGCATGATTTAAATGGGGGGGGTCACTGCTGGAATCCTGACAGTGTGTGTCTGTGTGTGTGTGTGTGTGTGAACTCATAAAACATTTCTATGCCTGTTTTAGAGTTGCCATGAACAGGGGTGGGGGAAAGAAATTTGAAGGAGCAGTGCGGAGGTTTAAAACCGAAAGCGCATTCCATTCGCCTCTTGCAAAGATTGTAACTAAGTTAGACCGGAATTTCTGCCCTTGAAAATTCCTAATTGGAGAACATGATGGATGACTCTGGGCTATGGATGTGTCCCATTGGAGGATATGAATTAGGATACACCTAGAGGGGTGGGGGAAAACCAGGGTCAAGGGTGACAGTGTATAATGTGCGTCAGAGTCGGCT